ACTGATTTGCTGGACACTGCTTCCTGGGAAAGAGAGTTCCACACACTTGTGACTCTTGAAGAGAAGAAGCACTTCCTCGTCCCGTGTGATTTTTGTACTTGATACTTGAAGGAGTGGCCCCGTGTGGTGGTTGAAAGACTGGGTTCAAACATGGTCCCTCTACAAATACTGCAGCTGTTTCCAACTCTTACTTTGTCATACCCGTGTGTGATTTTGTAAAGCTGGATCACGTCTGTCCTTTGTCTTCTGAAGTTGAGTGTCGGTAACTGGAGAGCCTGGAGCCTCTGGGGATAAGGCAAGTGGGACACTGACTCCACAAGCTTTGTAGCTCTTCTCTGCACTCTTTCGACACTGTCCCTGTCTCTCTTGGTTGTAGGACACCAGATCACGGTTGCATATTCTAAATGTGGACGGACTAAGCTCTTATAAAGAGGTAGAAAAGCCTCCTTGTCCAGGTACTTGAAGGTGTGCCTAATTGCACCCAGGACTCTGTTGGCCTTGTTTACTTGAACCTGGACGTGTGTGCTAAACTTGAGGTTACTGTCAATCGTCACCCCCAAGTCCTTCTCCTCATGTGTCACCTTCAGCGTGTGGAGTGTTCCATCTTCCTTTGTCATAGTATACTCGTGTGTGGGGTTTCTTCTTCCCAGGTGCATTACTTTGCACTTGTCAGGATGAAACTTCATCTGCATCCTAGATGACCATCTCTGCAGAGTATTCAAGTCAGCCTGTAGACATGTGGAGTGTATATTGCTCGTGTGGATTTCTTGGGTAGCATGTGTTATGGTCTGGCTCGTGTGGAGTTCTTGAGTCGCATGTGTCTTGGCCTGGCTTTCACACCCATGTGCAATGGCGTAGATCTTTGTGTTGTCCGCAAACAAGGAAACAAAGTTATGTAGCTCATCGGGTATGTCACTGACGAACATCGAGAAAAGATACACATACATTAACACAAGAAAGGAGACTTATTAGCTTGTTTTAAGGATTTAATCATACACACGTGCAAATTCCGAAAGGTGTTTTTGAGCCACCTGGTGAAAAACAAAAGGCAGTTTTTGTTAGAGCATTCTTTTTCAGAAATATGTCACTCAAGGCGTTCTGTAGTTGACAAGTAAAACAGGAAATGAACAAGCTTTTCAATAATACACAATACAATGCAAATTATATAACTAACGTAACAGAAGAACGGAGCTTGTTTTAGAATCATGCACACTGCAAATTCCAATTGGTGTTTTGAGCCACGTGGTGAAAAACAAAAGGTAGTTTTTGTTGGAGCATTCTTTTTCAGAAATTGAACTCACGGCGTTCTGTAGTTGACAAATAAGATATAACGCTACATGTAACATTACAAGCTCACCGCACGTGGAAAATGTTGTAGAAAAATGTGCGGCAAAATTGGCTCTTTCAAAGTCTCAAATCAGGAATGGCCACTCGAAATTTGGGGAACTATTCTTTCTGAACATAAGTTGTTAAATATGACATGTTCCTACTATTTGCTAGGGAACAATGTTAGCCGATAGTTTGTTGTTTTACCTGTACGAAAAGCGAAGTCGCCTTGAACCACGTGCACCCTCTGTCTCCCAACGATGTCGCCATTTTCTCGTCTTCTCGAAAATTCACCAGATCGGGAACATCCGCATTTTCTCCTCAAAACATCAAGAGAACGGTGTAATTATACCGCTAAAAGTTCCCTACATTCTACTCTACACTTTAGAAAGACATTCCTCGGATAAAAACTCGAGAAAGTACCCTGAAAGTTGCACAAAAATAACATCTCAGAGAATTCTCGTCGTACCAAACCGCCATTTTGAGGGGACCATGCCGAATGAGTTTTCTGCACAGGTGTGCAAAACAGCCTTGTCTAATTAATATGGTGCAGCTGATCTAATTACTAAGACAAATTCAATCTTAAAAAAAGGAAAAACGGCTTGGAAATATATCATTTCCCGCCAGTATTACACACAAAGTTTCCACTAAAATCTTTTTGGATACATTTTGGTTACAGGTTCTGGGTTCGAATGTTAATATAAGTTGAAACTTCTACCTCCATGCCCCAATACACATTGTATCTCTCATATATTATATATACTTGTCGAGCACTTGTACCAAACATGTCAGTCGTCATTTACTCAGTTTTCTTCCTTTGTATTACCCGAGCGGGTTTTCAGCTTTGCCTGGTAGCCAGACCATCGGGCGCTCCCCGGTATGTTTACGGCGCTGGGAGTGCTGCCCTCCTTTTCACGGGGTTGGTTTCAGAGGCCGGCTGCAAATATAGGCTACCAGAAAAGTCCTATGGCTTAGAGGGATTGGTTTTGGACTTAGAAAACCCATCTAAGCCTGAATTTCCTGTTTAGAGTAATAATACGAGCAACGCACAACAGCTACGGGGGCGCTACGGGAGTTTTCGCGGGCGAAGTCTGCCGCTGGTCCCGAGGACAGAGCTCCTCCAACGCGGTGACTTTTTCACCGTGAATTTCATGGAATTCGTCTTCTTAAGTCGGCCCTTTGCACAGAATATGTTGGTCTTGACTAATTCAGTTGTCTGGCGTCTGTATCATCGAGTATTAAAAGGTTTTAGCCTTGGTTTTAGCCTGGTAATCATGCCACGGGAGCTCCCTGGCATCTCTACCGCGCTGGGAGTGTTCCCCTCCCGCCGGGCACATTAACGCACGTCGGGGCATTTTTAAGGGGTCGGTTTGTTTCGATAATTTTAGCACGACAGTGAGCAGGAAGGCCGACTAGAAAGATAGGCTGCCAAGAAAAGACATATTCTTACAGCAATTGCCGGTGAAACACATTCAATTCGGCCCGTGAAAAAGGGTTATCAAGGCTAGATCAACTCAACACCGAGCCGAGCCTCGCCTCGTCTCCTTGGATTTTTAGCAGTTTAACTGACGCCAGACAAAGATACCTTGGATATTTAGAAAGACAAGTGTCTTCAGAACTTAAATCAATTCATAAAAGTTACCTGTATTGCATACTTTCTCCACTTTGCTCCAACAAACATCACAGTACGGTCCAGAAAACAATTCAATGGCTGCCATCCGTGCAGTCGATTATCAGACTGCATCGTATATTTTTGGCCACGTGTCAAAAATGCCGCCTGGCGGATTACAATGGTACTTGTCGATGGTAAAATTGCCAATACGAATTTACATTGTTTATTTAAGAGCGACCCCTAGCAGCTAATGATATTAGTGTTTCGAATTGACTAAGTGTGCGAAAGTCGACGACCCAATCAGAAGAGACATTACAAAACAACTTTTGGTTAATAATCTATTGGACATGCCTATTGGTCGGTCAAACAGCAGCCACTATATACAGTGCACTGATTAGTCAATTTGTTTAAGCATCGGGTTATCACCGTATAACAGTTTCCCGAACATGCGCCGAACAACACACCCGTCCTACTCCGCTGAAACAAAGTAGTCCCTACAAACTATCATAATTTCGTGTTAAAAACAGCTTAATATTTGCTCTAAATATCATTTTGCCATAAAAGAATATTTTTAAAATGTTAATTTTCAATAGATCATAGAGCATTAACCATGATTATATATTTTGCGGTTATAGTTGTATCATTTCGCAATATGAGCGGATTGACTAACTGTGCCAACCAATCAGAAGAGACATTAGAAAACAATATGTGGTTAAGAATCTATCGGACATACGTATTGGTCAATCAGCAGCCAATACATACAGTGCACTGATTAGTCAATAGACCCATTCGACTTTCACGGATCGCATAAACTGCTTACGTCACAGGGGGGACATTTCGAAAGAACGTCGTTCTAGAACGCTGAAGTTGAACGCGGCTTGCGCTCGCGATGTCCCCCTGGCAGATCATTTTTTTACTAAAATGTAGGTAAGTGTCTTTTTTTCTCGGTAATATATGCGGAAATGACAGGAAAACAGGCACCAACATTGTATGGTGGCAATCCGTACAACAATTTAATGTTATTTTGTTCTGTGACGTATGCAGTTTATGCGATCATTGAAAGGAACTTTCGAAATGTCCCCCCTGTGACGTAGTTTCTATTCGAAATGTCCCCCCTGTGACGTATGCAGTTTATGCGATCCGTGAAAGTCGAATGGGTCTATTTGTCTGAGTATCGGGTCATCACCGTATTATTAGTTTACCGAACATGCGCCGAACAACACACCCGTCTTACACCGCTGGAACAAAGTAGTCCCTGAAAACTATCACAATTTCGTGTTAAAAATAGCTTAATATTTACTCTAAATATCATTTTGCCATAAAAGAATATTTTTAGAATGTTAATTTTCAATAGATCCTTGAGCATTAACCGTGATTATATATTTTACGTTTACCGGGTTGCCCAAGAGGTTTTGGCGGGCGTGCACCACTCTCATCACCGAAGAAATTCCGGCAAGTTTACGTGCCGTTTACGATCGGCTTGCCCGGCTATGACAAGTAAAACTCCCACCACGTAAAACTCATAACAGGTGGGAGTCAAACGGCTTTTTATCTATCGATAAGAAAGTTAACCGACTGTTGATACATTTTATAGCCAAGATTAGCTGATTTTGCGACTTGTATAGTAGTAGCGTTACACTGCACTGTGTGTGTTGAAGCGGCCGCTCTGAGTCTGAGTCGGTTGAACCATAAAATTTGCTAGTTGAACCCACTTGAACGTCAAAACACGAAAATATCGGTCTAGAAGCCAAGGAGAGGGGCACAAATAAGTGTTTTATTAGTCCACACAACTTACAGGACGCTGTGGCTAAAACAGAGGGAGGCAACCCTGGAAGTGCGAGTCAGTACCAGGGCCAGGCCCGGGGGCTAGGCCGGTTCGTATTCGGCCTGCTAGCGGCAATCTGACAGACCGGCCAACGTATTATACGGCGCGGCGTGTCTGAGACTGTTGGCACTGCCTGGGAGAGGGGAACATCTGTGTTTTGTTAGTCCACAAGCTACCGGACGATGTTTGTGGCTTTAACCGTGAGAAAAACAGAAGAGGGGACCATGGAAGTGCCTGTCAGTACCAGGGCCAGTCCCAGGCCGGTTCGGACGGCCCGCTGAGTGTCAATCCAACGGTGCGGTACGGAGCGGCGTATACTCGGGCCGGCCTGCCCGCGACAGTTGGATTCCAGCGGGCTGAATGAACCGCCCTAGCCCCACAGTATTCTCCAGGGTCGAGGAAAGTCACCATCTTTCTACCCTTTCTTGTAAAATGACCTAAAAATGTACCGCTGAGCGCCGAAGTTCCCCGTACATCAACACCGACTCCCTCCCTACAATCGCCCGGCAACTTTTGTGACCAAGCCAGCCGAAAGCAGCCCCAAAACTACGCCTTCTCCTTCTCACAAGCAGTTACGAGAAGTTCATGTTATGATATTGAGGTATTTGTGATAGAAATTAGGCAAAATTTGTTGTAATTCGGCGATACGAGCTGTTGTAGTAGCGCTGAGTTTGTCAACATATATAGCCACTTCCGGTTGCCGCGGCTTCGTTACTCGGTGTCTGAAAAATGATGCATTTTGCAAACGGCGAAACCGCGAGAGCCCGAAAAAATCAAGTAAAACTTCAAAGTACGCCCTTTCTCTTCCGTGGCGTTTGTATACTATTTTAAATGTACGACAGAACCGTTCAAAACTCACTGAAAATACTCAGCGTTTTCTAGAAAAGTTAAGATTTGTAGGTCGATCAAGTATCAAACGTAAAACCCCAAAGCACCCTAATTTCGGGCGGTTGGAAACCGGAAGTACAGATAAAGACAGTCGCTTGTAATGTAAGGATCCAGCCCACTCGCGGATTCGGGCGATTTGGGAATTGCCAAAATCAATGGGCTCGTAAAGGGGTTTTCAACTTTTTACAGAATTTTTCATATTATGACTTTGTGAATAAGTTTACTACTAGCGGAAAACATATTACCTCCATGAAAAATGGAGATATTGTTTTTGGCGTGTCTAGCTGTCTGTGTGTGTGTGTTTGTGTTTCTGGACATTTGCGGCCAGCACAACTTTTGAACCTTTGGATGGATTGTAATGATATTTGGTATGTGGATAGGTGTTGGGTAACCAAAGGTCAAGGTCAATTTTGGGCCTCCTGGTGGCTGATCTTGGTACTACAGCAGAACTTCCGGTTTTTGTATCTTTTGTACTGGACATACTATGGCCTTGATTATTTTTGTGCACACAGTCACACACGCACCCATGCATGCACACTGACCCACACACACACATAGTACGTAATATGCACATACCAATGTGATCATACTTCAACAATATAAGAAGCAGTGTAACTTGTGTGTGTTATGCCTGTGTTTTATAATCTGGCTTCGTTGTATGAAAATTCAGTACAAGACAAATCATATGGCTAGGAACCATACTTTTGGACTACCGGTAGTACAGACATGGTTATATGGTGAACAACTAACTCCCTATCAACGTGTACACTTGGAGCTGTGCAAGTTTTACATTGATGTTGATTTAAAGTTAGAGGCTTAGTTCTTGTATAGCAGAATTAGGCCACAACAAGTAGTTTTCATGGATGACATCCCCCACAGAGTCCAAATCTAATGCGAGTGGGCGAAAAAAAACAAGGCGGGCCGAAAAAACAAGGTTCCTACATTTTCACATTTTGACTCAATCATTGTACAAATGGTTTTTATTCAGTGGGAAAATCACATATACACAGCCAGCATCACATATCACTGCATCAAAGTAAGAAACAAAACATTAAATCAGAGCCTCTTTTGTCTCCTCTGTTCATAATTATCTGCCTTCCACCTTCCGGCATGGCAACAGACATCTTTGCCCATTTTTGGCATGTTGAACACTGTCAGAGGGCAACAAATTTCTTGTTTTTTTCCCCAAATTAGGCAAAAATCAATGCGTGCACTGATGTCATCCATAAAAATTACTTGCTGTGGCCTTAGCACTGAGTATAAGATGTCACCAGAGAGTAAACATTAACAGTACTGTACCATTCTATATCTGCTTGGTTGCAAGTATAAGTCAGACAACTATATATCTATGCAGGGATGTTCTTGCTGTGATATCCATCATTTGTATCTTCCTAAAACATCAGCAGACATCTGTCTATCGTCCACTACCCTTCTTCAATTATTACCAGTAATGTCTTAATTGTTTTATTGCTATTATATAATCTGTTTGTACTTACTAATTGCTTGCTTTGCTTTATTTTGCATACATACTTTAATTGTTCTCCATAGGCTAACAGTTCCTTTTTCAGAATACCTCAGTTGTGTCTATTTTTCTAACTAAAATCATGGTTAATCTAGTTAAGGCCACACAAACTTTATTTTATGGATGACATCCTCTGAAGAACCCCAAACTTGTGCGCATGGGCAAATAAAAAAATTCCGGCCAAAAATAAAAATGCTAATAAACCACAGGAATACAAAGCAGGTATTGTGAATTTGCGGCAGTACATAGCGACGTATACGACAAGCCGGCACATGCTGGCTTTTTGCAGAATGTATGAATTGGAACTGACATATGTATTGAGTTCTTGAGTCGTGGAGCTTCGGCAGCCTTGGTGCCATCCTCCAGCGTTACCACAGGCTCCGTATTGTCGCTAACTGCAATGGACTACCCAGGCTTTGAGCCAGGCCAGAGCCTCGGTGAACGACATACGTGATCTTTTTTTTTTTTCTGAGAACAGGTGAAAATCAATGCACGTGCAGACGTCATCCATAAAATTAAGTCGGTGTGGCCTAAAATCTAAACAAAATACACTCCCCTGGGAACATCTGTATTTATGTATGTGCCCCTCTTTTTATTGCTTCTCCAAAAGCTGATATGTCTAAGTTGGAATAATAGAAATCTAATAGCAGTGAGAGCAAGGGTGTTTAAATCATCGGCACAAATGAATCAACACAGCTCAACCAAAAGACATCTAACTAATCCGTCAGTGAAGGTTTGACATCTAGGTAATAAGATACGCCAAAAAAAACGTTACTCAAGCAACTGCAGCCAGCATTTCTCCACATGCTCTAGTGTCACTGACGAAAGGTAGTGGACGCTACCTGAAATGTCTGACCGTTTCCAAAACCATATCCAGGTACTTGAGTAACTTTTTTTTCTTGGGCACATCTAACAAATCCCTGATACTTTCAAGCACCATAAAATGAAACGAACAAATAATGTAAAAGTGGCCATGATATGTGTGATATCCACGAATATGTTTGAAAATAGATGGCACAAAAATACTGTAACATAAATAGCCATAAATACTTCTGGATAACTGTGCATATCATTTAAAGTAATATTAATGTTAATATACCTGGTAAATATAGGAATGTTGAAAAGTGATATACTAGTAGCAGCAACAAACAACAACTGAAAAAAAACCCAAAGCAGCAATTTTCTATGAATGATTGTTGTGTATTGAATGATGCTCAGGCCTAGGAAAAAAAACTGTGTTTCCTGTTTGAATCCTGACCAACCCTAGAAAACTGCCAACCCTAGCCTTTTTTTTGTGTGTGGACCCCTGCAAGGGGCATAAATTTTTCAAGCTGATCGACCTTTTCTAGCTCCATGACCTGACATGTGAGTGATGAAATGCTGTACAACCAGTTTTCCAACATTGACATTGAAAATACAAAATGTATATTTTAAGTGTCCTCATGCAAGTTTTTCTTTGTTAAACTGTATTGTATAAGTTCAATCACTAGAGATTGCAAAAGTCTAATAACAACTAGAAAAGTAACATTTGCGAAGCAAATGCATAATGTTTACCTTCGGATACGGTCTGCTCTGTTAATTCTTATAAGCTTACTCAAACACATCCGCATACATGTATTACTAGTATATGGTGACAGGAGCAGAGCAGACCATAAAGTTTGCAACATTATGTAACCCAACACCAGTCACCATGGTGACAGACGTCAACAAATCATGTGATTGGCCAGGTCAGAGGTTAGTGTTTGGAGAAGAGGAAATTTGAGTAAAAACCATATGTTTTCAAAAGAAGAAAAAAAGATAATCCCTACCTACGGGTCCTAATTTTTTCCAGGACTGAAACAGGAAACAGAACATTTTTTCCCTACACCTTATGACGACATCAGAAGCTGTCTCATGTCCCTGAGAGAGTGCTGTATACTACCCGACATCTCCTCAGCACTGGTCTCTACACAACTCTTCCAGGCACTCACACTGTACGTTATCCTGTAAATAAAGAGGAAGAAAGATGCAAAAATCCTAAAAAGTCAGCACATATATATTGAATACATTCTGTGGTATACTTTGGTGTTAAAGGAAATAATATTAAACATTTTCCAATAACAAGAAGATTTCTATGTAGCTAGGTGCAAAAATGATGTTTTATTGATACTTCTATTTCCTTCCAAATCACATGAACACTTACAGCATTGAAAAATGAACAAAAGAGAACAAAAAAGGAAACAAAAACTACTGAATAGTAATTAATTACTTACCGGTAATTTATGTATTTACCCCATAGCTGAACTAGAAAGTGTTTGGATCTTTGATAGTACCTTAGCCTAATGTTATCAAACCTACTTCATCCCTTCCACAAATAGAAACTTATTTTACATGTAGCTGCCAAGTCGTTGGGGTCCTCTCCCAAATAGTATTGAGACTGAGCAGTTAAAATATGTTTCCAGATGTATAAAATATGTGACCACACTATTTGATTTCAGGTTGCCAATTTCCATATGAATGCAAGAGGAAACGTTCAGTGAGTCTTTTTCTACAGGAAAATGACCCACCTGTCTGGTTGGATGTTGTAGAAGATGCCATGGCCGTGGTGCACCATGGGAGCAGCGGCACCGGGACAGGGGGTGTACCCCCCCAGGCTGGTGGACAGGACGAAGTTCCCCCCTCCTCCGCTGTGTCAATCATGACAACAAGGAAGAAAAATAACCAATCAAAAACTGTTTGAAAAAATGAGAAAATATACAGACATGTTATGAGTTTGTTCATGGCTTGATGTGTACGTTATGCAGTGTGATGCATTGTGGGTAATATGTCAACAATGAATGAGCACATTGAACTTTGACATATTACCCACAGTGCATCACACCGTGAACTAGCTCATTCCATTCAATTTTTGTTGCATAGTAGGCAAAACAATCCGACAAAAATGGTTATCATAACAGTGAAATACATCAGTACAGTCTGGTATTTGGACTTGAACTGAAATGTTAGGTCCAGTTCTAATTCAGTCTAGTGTGTGTCCAACATGTCAGATCAAACATTTTATATCTTTTGTCGGCAGGCGACCAAAAAAGAAAGCCTAGGGTTGGGGAGTTTTTGCTATGGTCAGTTGGGTAACCTATCGAGAAACACAGCATTTTTTCCCTAGGCCCTGACTATTACACAAAGCAAAAGTGTTGAAACATTACAAGACCGTGTACCTTTTTGAGTAAGCAGGATCAGAGAAGATAGCCGGCAGAGGAATCCCTGCACCCATGGCCAGGACTTGGAGCCCAAACAGGTGCCGATCAAACCCTACATGGACAAAGATTTAAATCAGTGTTAAATTAATTAATAAGTGAACTTTATTGCACAACAATTGTACAAGGTACAACATAAGACATGGCATACTGCGATATAATAAACATACGGAAACTAATCTAACATCTGTGTCCATAATATCACCATGGTCCATAATATCGCCACCTTGAGAAACATTGTGCTTAAAGATATTTTTACTGCAACATACCCTAGGTATGTACATTTGATGTGTGCAGGAGTGCATACTAAAAGTATGTTGCAGTAAAAATATCTTTAAGCACACTGTTTCTCAACGTGGCGATATTTTGGACCCTGGTGATATTATGGACACAGATGTTACCATTGGGATGAAAGTATATTTACATAGTAGAATTTATAGCATCTTTTGAAATATCGCCCTACCCCTACCAATGTAGCAACAGAAAAAATGGGGCATATATAGAAAGGTAACAATCATTGATCCCCTCCACGCTCTGCTTGGACTTGGAGAGTACTAAATAAATATATTTACAATACATAGGTTGTCACATGCCAATATGTACTATGAATTTGCTATTTGAGGAATGAGGAATTTGAGAAATTGAGGTATAGAAGATGACAGACTTGTATATGTTCACTTTAAAGAGATGCGCATTAAATCTACAGTTTGACCAGAACAATGCCAATCTTTGCAGCTGAGTGAAGAATGACTGCACCTTTGATAAATCTTTGAGCCTCCTACGAATGAACAAGATAAACTAGAAAAACGAGACTGAAACAAACAGGAGCAAGTAGAAACAGAAAAAAATGACTCCCGGGATGCTGGGAATCGAACCCCACTGTTGCAAGACCAAGATATTTTAAGGCCAAATGCCACTTGTAAATTACCCAGCATGTTTTTTGCCTCCTCCATCAGTTGTATGTGCTTCTTGAATGCAGCCATCATGAGTTCTTTCCTCTCTTCTGCGGGGACCGTGTTGTCCAGCATGGCCTGACACCAGCTGACCACCTCCATGGTGCAGGACCGGACAGTCTCAGTCCGGCCGTGGTAGTACTGTCGCAGTGTTGCTGTCTCGTATGTCGGCGCCGGTCTGAGGTAATTGTGAGAGAGACAATGGTTTATTCACAGACATAATGACTAATAAACTGGTGGATGTACCAAGCACTATCTTATACCAGCCCAGAAGAGAACAAGAAACAGTCATGCCTTTAATTCAAATATCAGAGTTATCAACCAAGGATTGAGGTGTTCAAAAACTCGATCTTAGAGTGGGTCTTATTGTCACCAAGCACTGTTGGGGCATCAACACTAGAAAGCTTTAAACAACTCCTGCAATTAAATGTGCAAAGATTGAGTGTAACAAGTCGTTCGGTGTGATATAGCTAGCTGCGGCCGCGCCGCGTGCCTGTGAAGCTGGTTTGTTATGCTGAAGGAAGGCTATACTGGCTATACTGATACAGATAACCTTTAAAATACATGTACACTTAAGACAGTTTCAAGTTGTCACAGAGAAGCAACTGTGTCCATTAGCTGAATTGTGACATAACTTAAAAGTAATCAGTTATACTTTACACCAATAAAATTATCTCGGACACTCTAACTAAAAGTTATATATACTTAAGAAACACGATGTAAAATAACATTGTTTTAGTCTTATTTCTTCACCACACGTACTCACTATCCGGTTTAGGTCAAGAAACTTCTGCTACAATTACCAAAAAGGGAGCAACAATATGGCAGCAGACACAGAGAAGACATCAATTTTCTCAATACAATACTAAAAAATTTACATTAAAGGAAAAGTGATACAATTTCGAAATTGTATTGAAACATGACGAACATGGTCTCAATGATTATCATATGTAATTGTTACTGTGTTATGAAGACATGATTTCAAGATACACTTTGATTCAAGAAGTATGAAATTACACGTTTATCGTACTTTCCATGTAGTCTGAAGTAAGCCAGCTGCAGGGCAGTCTGCATGTAGGAGTCAGGGTGCAGTTTGAAACTGCGGATGAACTTCTTGCCATAGTCTGTGAAGCTGGGGCAGATGACTTCAAAATCTGATGCCTGTATCAAACATAGCATGGATATGTATTAGATGTATTATTATGTGTGCTGTTTTCTCTTTTCCACAACATCTAAAACCACAGTCTGTGGTGCATTTCCAAGCCTTTGTACTGAAAAACCTTCCTCTACCCTATTTTGGTACCAGAAAGCTTTCACCATCCTGTACTATCCTGTACCATCCCCAGCCTTAGTACTGAAAAGCCTCCCTGCACAGTACTATCCTGTACCATCCCCAGCCTTAGTACAGAAAAGCCTTCCCCACCCTGCACTATCAAGCACCATCCCCAGCCTTAGTACTGAAAAACCTTCCCCACCCTGAACTATCAAGCACCATCCCCAGCCTTGGTACTGAAAAACCTTCCCCACCCTGCACTATCAAGCACCATCCCCAGCCTTAGTACTGAAAAACCTTCCCCACCCTGCACTATCAAGCACCATCCCCAGCCTTGGTACTGAAAAGCCTTCCCCACCCTGCACTATCAAGCACCATCCCCAGCCTTGGTACTGAAAAGCCTTCCCCACCCTGCACTATCATGTACCATCCCCAGCCTTAGTTTTGAAAAGCCTTCCCCACCCTGCACTATCATGTACCATCCCCAGCCTTAGTTTTGAAAAGCCTTCCCCATCCTGTACTATCCTGTACCGTCCCTAGCCTTAGTACTGAAAAGCCTCCCCCACCCTGTACTATCCTGTACCATCCCCAGCCTTGGTACTGAAGGGCCCTCCCCACCCAGTACTATCCTGTACCATCCCCAGCCTTAGTACTGAAAAGCCTCCCCCACCCTGTACTATCCTGTACCATCCCCAGCCTTGGTACTGAAGGGCCCTCCCCACCCAGTACTATCCTGTACCATCCCCAGCCTTAGTACTGAAAGGCCTTCCCCACCCTGTACTATCCTGTACCATCCCCAGCCTTGGTACTGAAAAGCCTTCCCCACCCTGCACTATCAAGCACCATCCCCAGCCTTGGTACTGAAAAGCCTTCCCACATAGTAATTATTATTACCTGTTTGAGGAATGTTTTTTCAGCCTGCACCACTGCCTCTCTTATCTCGTCATCAATGGTAAAAACCAGTTCCTCTGGCTGAGGTATCACCCGATCAGGAACACTTCCCTGGAACAAAAAAATCAGTGTGGATGAGCTCTTCAGACAAGTTGTCTAAGGTTCGCTCTCCTGGTCATCTCTTGTTTCTATTTCCTGTCAGGTTCAACATTAATAGAAACTTTATTCGCAAAATCATGCCCGAAGGCTAATTGCTTTTACAATCAAGTATAATACTCATTACACAGTAACAGGAGACAGGTAACAACTGTCTGGGAAAAAACTTCTACTTCTACTACTACGCTAGCTATTGTGGGGTTCGACTTCTTCTTTGAAGGCAGCGAATAATGAATAGTCCCACATTCTGCATAATTAGTGGGTTTTGTGATCTTAGTAGAAGATCACAAATTAATAGGCTTCAATAGTGGACTCAAAAGAAACATGGGTTTATGTGACAGAGAATACAAAATGCAAGGGTCAATGAACAACAACACAAGACTGTACCACATTACATGCAACATTAAAACACATTACGAACAAATCACCTTCCAGTGTGGTCCATTCCGTTGTAGCTGGGAATTGATGAAGTACCCTGAGTACACGTGGACCATGGCATCCGCAGGGGAGTGCTGCAACAACAAACAATATTACGTACAAACGTACTAATTTTTCACTTAATCAAAACATTCATGGATTATTTTATATATTATATTGACTTGAATCGACGATTCTACCAGATCAGAGTCTCTACCCTGACATACATGTATATATTGTGAAGAAATGTTCATTGATAGATAAGTGTCAATGTTAAAACAGAATCCCACACTAGAAAGGTAGCATTTGCAAGCTAAGGCAAATACACATGTACATGATGTTTACCTTTGCATATGGTCTGCTCTGTTAATTCTTACTCAAACACATTCATATATATGGTCAGACAGGAGTCCAAATCCCTCCTGCTATAAAATTGCAACATTATGTAACCCAACACTAGTTACCATGGTAACAGACACAACATTGGTTCAGGTCATTGAGGTCACTGTTGGAAGAAGAAGAGGAAGAAACTGAGCAAAAACTACATGTTCTCCTTCAGTAAACATTACCTCGTAGTTTGCACACAATAGACCACTCCTGTAAGCCACTATGGTGTTGATATGATCAAACCATCGGTTCTGGGCATTGCCTGCCAGGGTCTCGTAAAAATTCTGCAACAGACAATAACAGACACAGGTTACAGAGGTTTGAGTTTAAAAGATGCACCAGCTGATAAAAAGATATGGACAAAGATGATGATAACAATAACTAGCATGTCTAGATCACGAGATATCTAAACCGGAAGTTCTGCTGCAGTACCGTGACAAGTGGCCACGGGACCCAAAATCTAATCATTTTGAGGTCTCATCAAGACCTACCCACCTACCAAATATCACGATAATCCATCAAAGCCCTCTTCAGTTATCATGTTCACAAACAAACACATACACACACACACAGACAGACACATGATAGTTCCTCTACTAGGAAATATGCCAAAAATGTAGCCTCCATAGCAGGCTTATAGAACTGGGGTTTTGGTGGTCTTCGGCTGTTTTCTGATCAACCCAGTTCTAGTGTAAAAAAACGGGGGTAATTCAAACAGGCCGGCTATGTTGTCTATATGCAATCAGAAAATAGCACATAAAAGCTCCCAAAGACCATGACAACCCCCAAAACCCCCAGTTTTTGGCATGCTATGGAGGCTACCAGAAACGTATGTCTCACCTCTTCATGGTTCTTGGGGAAGGCATCATCAAACGCCAGGACAATGATACTCTGTTCTATAACTGACAGGTTCTCGGCATTGACTGTATCCATCGTCATCAGCTTTTCTCTTATCTGTGGGAAGAGGTGAACCTTGTGGTAGCAGTGGTTGAAATACTATTTTTTTCAGTGCTCTGCAATATTGCAGAATGTCACATATTGTTCTGCAATTTGGAAATACTTTCTGCAAAGTATACAACTTAGTATACAAACTCATACAAAATTGCATGTTGGCAAACATTTTACATGCAACTTAAAAAAGTATATCATAAAGTCAGTAGTAAGCACAAAAGCTCCTAAACAATATTATACAGACACAATTGAGCCCCTATCCTGATTTTTTCAGTCTGCAAAAGTGCAGGTTGCTTTGAAAATTTTTTATTCAGATCTGCAACATCGAAAATTTTTTTCTGCAAAATGCAGACTGCAGATGTGTATTTTTCAAACACTGGGTAGTTTTTAACAAACTTTTCCATAAATTGAAATTGATATTTGACTGATATCCCAACTTCTGTATTTAATAGACTGCATTTACCATATCCTATCTACCTCACCACATCTATCTAGTACTAGTATCTACCATATCACATCAGACATCCAGGTACGAAAGTGTTGTTTTGGATCACAGGCGGAGCTGTGGGTTTGTGTGTCTGTTTGTCCAGACAGAATAGGTAGACAGCACATGGGTGGGGGAAGATTGACAGGCAGAATGACAGGTCAAAATGTCAAAGACAGGAAATGGGGTTTAATGGTCTAAGAATTAGGAAGCCAAAAGGAATTAGTGATCAACATGGGGGAATTCAGGAAGCCAAGGATTGAAATATTTCCTGGTAGTCTGAAATCTTTGACTTCTTGCATCTTGATTGAATAATACATTCATTCCTGAACAAATTACCGTTAGGTGGCGTCGTGTGGTCGTGTAGCGGCAGAGTGCACGACCTTCCTCACTTCTCTCAGGTGAAAATGAGTATTGTATTGTCCCGTGTTGGTGGCAACATTAATATAAATTGAAAAAACTTGAGTGTGCTGTCACTACATCTTGTGATTAGATGTTGGAATATAAAAAAGAAAAACAAATTACCATTGCCCATTTGGTCCTGTTCTCTGCCGTCAGTGTGGAGATGTGAGGTCCCTCTGGAGCGTTCTCACATTGTTGTCTCACGCTGTCCAGTTGTCTTGAAGAGATAAAAAGAAATGAGACAAATTCTTTAATAAACAACGTAGTTCTTTGGGCGACAGATCAAAGAAATTAATTAGATGCACAGAATACGACCCCTGACCTCACTTGACCCAGCGGTCATCTGTTTATTGTCATCACAAGTAGCGGGCGGTGGGAGCTCACGTACTCGAGCTCATCTGAACTTGTCTGGTACAACAAGTTTTTTAGGCAGTCTTACACAGCACTGTTACTTTTGAATATTTTATTACTGTTGTTTTGCCGTACAATCTAGCTTTTTAGTCCGCAGCACTGTTACTTAGCAACATCACTCAGCACTGTTACTCAGTCCGTCCCCCTCCTTATACTAGTAGCTACGCCCCTCTACTACAGTTACTGCACTCTCCCCCTCATCGCCTCTCTCCTTCTCTCCTTCCCTCCGGGCTTGGTCTTGGTGGATTCTCATGGTTTAAAACATTAAACTTACCAAGCCCATCTCGCCTCTTTGTCTCTCTATGATAAGCGTTGAGTGTGAGTGCAGATAATTGTAGTTCTTTGGGCGACAGATCAAAGAAATTAATTAGATGCACAGAATACGACCCCTGACCTCACTTGACCCAGCGGTCATCTGTTTATTGTCATCACAAGTAGCGGGCGGTGGGAGCTCACGTACTCGAGCTCATCTGAATTTTCTCCCACCCACCCACCCGTGGATTCTCATGGTTTAAAACATTAAACTTACCAAGCCCATCTCGCCTCTTTGTCTCTCTATGATAAGCGTTGAGTGTGAGTGCAGATAATTGTCTATGATTAGTTGGCCAGCAACATAACCTATCTTTGTCAAACTTAACATCTTTTCACATCATTTGATTATTTCGTCTAGTAGTCATTGTCAGAAAACAAAACAAAGAAACCTTTTCTGAAAGAATCTAACAGTAAAACAGAGCACAGGGAGAACAACTCAGTGCTTTGTGATGCTAACATCTTGCTCTTGCTTCAATCACATATGACAAGCCTTCTTGCAACTTACTTACTGCAATGTGGTTATATGGAACAGTAACATACTGATCATAATGATTCTATGGATAATCAGAAATTAATAATAATTATGGAGATAACCATAATCAGAATTGGATTCTTTTAAGGAAACCAAAGGCTACTGTGTTATATATTCTTCTTCTTATACTACGGGGTGGAGACATTCAGCCCAACCCTGGCCCACGAGCTCCGAAGTACCCTTGTGGCGTGTGTCGCAGAGCTGTTAAATGGGAGAAGGTTGATGGGCGCAGGGCAGTCTGTTGTGACACGTGTGACACCTGGTATCACACAGACTGTATGGGCATGTCGACACCAGTGTATAACGCTATTAATCGCCCTAACATATCATGGATCTGTTGTAGTTGCGGTCTCCCTAACCTTGGCTCCAACTTGTTTGATTCTACTATATTTGAAACCTCAAACTGTTTTGCTTTTCCGACACCTGACTCTAGCCCCTGCTCCTGCTCAGGGAGTTCTGTAGGCTCACCTGTAGCCTCATCTACCCCGACTAGCCAAGTCCCTAACCACCCACCGAGGGACCGATCACGAGGTAAACCCCTCAGAGCTGCAGTTGTTAACTTTCAGTCAATACGAAACAAGACCGCAGAATTTCAGGTCTTCTGTGATACGGTGGACCCTGACATTATTATAGGAACCGAATCTTGGCTAGACTCATCAATAAGTAACAGTGAGATTTTTCCACCCTCATATACGGCACATAGGAAAGATAGAGAAGGCCGCGGTGGAGGGGTCTTTGTCGCCACCAAGAATGATCTTATAGCCACTCATCATCCCGAACTCAGTACCACAAATGAATTAACTTGGGTCAAGATTGACTTAGTCCACAGCAAGTCGATGTACATTGGAGCCTATTACCGTCCTCCATCAGCTGGTCTAGATGACTACCAAGCACTGGAACAGTCCCTTACAAACATACGAAGGAAGCCTGGTAACCCACATATATGGTTAGCAGGTGACCTTAACCTACCGACTGCAACTTGGGGTATGGACATAACCAGTAATTCCTCAAGTGTAGTCACCAACCTCACCAATAAATATATTAACTTGGTTAATGATGTAGGACTGGAGCAAATTATTAATGAACCCACACATCGTACGGAACATACCGCAAATATTCTAGACTTGTTTTTCACTTCTAATCCCACTCTAAGTGAAAAAAAGCAAAATTGTTCCTGGTCTAAGTGATCACGACATTCCAATAATCGATGTGCATACCAAGGCACAAAAAGTGCTCAAACATGGCAGACTAGTCTACCAGTGGAGAAAGGGGAATTTGGAGCAACTCCAGAAGGACATGGAAACCTATAGTAATAACTTTCTAAAAAGAGCTAATAAAAGGACAGCCTCGGAAAACTGGGAAGACTTTAAAGAAAACATCCTAGCGACAGCAAACAAACACATTCCTAGGAAGAAGGCGAGATGCCTACATAACCAGCCGTGGATTTCACCCCAAATTAGAAGGGCGATGCGTAAAAGGGACAAACTCTATTCAAAAGCTAAGAGCACTAACTCAAAAGAAACATGGTCCAAATTCAAGTCATGCAGAAAAGCGGTCAAGCAAAGAGTTAAAAAAGCCCACAGAGAGTACACCGCCAATTTCCTTGAAGAAAACATTAAAGACAACCCTAAAGCATTCTGGAGTTATATAAAAGCACTAAAACACGACAATACCAATATTGCAGCCATGAGGCATCATGGTGTGCTTACTTCAGACCCAAAGGAGAAGGTAGATGCCCTGGGTGATCAGTTTAGTTCTGTCTTCACAGAGGAGGACCTAACCAACATCCCATCCCTAGGGAGACCTGTGGCTCCGCACGCACCACCTCTCTACATATCGGTGAATGGTGTCGCTAAACAGCTTTCTAAGCTTAATCCAAACAAGGCCTCGGGCCCAGATGGACTCTCACCAAGATTATTAAAAATCACAGCAACCCAAATTGCACCTGTGTTACAGGTTATTTTTACACAGTCACTAGACACCGGCGACGTCCCAGCAGATTGGAGAGCCGCTAATATTAGCCCCATCTTTAAGAAGGGAGATAAAACCTCACCTGTTAACTACAGGCCGGTGTCACTCACCTCAGTTTGTAGCAAAGTTTTGGAACATATTATACATAGCCATACCATGAGCCACCTTGACAAATATAATATATTATCTTCGACACAGCACGGTTTTCGTAAAGGACTATCATGTGAGAGTCAACTACTTTTGACAACCCATGACTTGGCTAGTACTCTAGACCTAAATAAGCAGGTCGACGCCATTGTGTTGGATTTCAGTAAAGCTTTTGATAAGGTCCCCCACAGCCGCTTACTGAATAAGCTCCAGCACTATGGCATTTCTGGCAAATTACTAACATGGCTGCAAGCTTTTCTCACTCAAAGAACCCAATCAGTTGTCCTTGATGGTGTGGCCTCTAAGCCCGCCAAGGTAGTGTCTGGAGTACCGCAAGGCACTGTTTTGGGTCCGCTTTTGTTTCTCCTTTATATCAATGATCTTCCGAGTGTTGTGACCTCTAGTGTGCGCTTGTTTGCCGATGACTGCCTGTTGTACCGGGTTATTGAAAAACCCTCAGATGCTCTTGATCTACAAAAAGATCTCGATGCACTGACCCGGTGGCAGGACACATGGCAAATGTCCTTCAACCCCTCAAAGTGCCACACACTTCATATTACTCGTAAGCGAAACCCGATTATTACACAATACCGATTATGTTCAGAAAATCTTACTAGTGTTAAAACCCATCCATATCTTGGAGTCCAACTATCACAGGATATGAAATGGGACACACATATAAATTATGTCACTGGTAGAGCTAATAGGATACTGGCAGTCATCCGCCGTAACCTTTCGCACTGTCCTCTTCGTGTCAAATCTACATGCTACAGAACACTTGTACGCCCACACCTGGAGTACTGTGCGACTGTATGGGATCCCCACACCATCGGTGGTTCCCAGGCGTTGGAGCGAGTCCAACGAAGGGCGGCGCGAATGGCTGTTAGTGATTATGACTATACCAGCAGTGTTTCTGACATGCTAAAGCGCCTCCAGTGGCCGTTACTTGTTGACAGAAGGAGAACCGCTCGCTTGATATCTTTGTATAAAATTACTCATGGACATATTAATATCCAAATGGAACAATACCTCAAACCTGCCCATAGGCGTACCAGAGGAAGTCATGAATATAAGTATCAAGCAATACCTGCCAAAACAGACTGTTTTAGATTTTCTTTTTTTCCAAGAACGATAAATGAGTGGAACAAGTTACCGGGCCAGCTTGTAAAAGCCCAGACAGTGGAGGCCTTCAAGGCCGGGCTTCTGGCCGCGCAACCATAGTCCGTCGCACCCCCCCCTCTCAGTGATACCCCAGTAGGGGTGGTTAGAGAGTACGCAAGAAGAAGATATGATAAACTATGACCATGATCATTAATTGATTAAGGTATGTGTCTACAGTCCTAGTTACCTTTTGAGTTCAGGTGGGGTCAAGGGTTCGCCCTCCGGGTCAATGACCTCTAGTTTAAACACACGACCCTTACAGAGCAGGGTGATGTGGGTAGGTGCAGTACCTTCAGCCTCTATGGAAGGGAACAGTTGTGATGATGTTATATTTTGGAACAAGCTTCCTTGTGAATGCTTCCCAAATGGGTACAACCTTAAACTTTCCAAGTCTAACTCTAAGGTAAACAAACATCTGTCTCTACAGTTCCTTGATGTAACCAAAAATATGTATGAACCTTGTTTTGAGGTGAAAACTGAAGTAAATAAAATAATTTTTTTTTCATTTCCTAAACATTTATCTGATTCTGTAACTCATGACATTAAAACTATACATTAGTGTTGTGACCATGACTATATTGTACATGTAGATCATCCATAAAATATAAAGATATAAAATCGTCATACAATGAAAAAAACCCAATCCACATCATCTAGACCTGAATATTTAGTAATCATATACCAAAATCCATCTAACAGACCGTGAGCTACAGCTGTGAACACACAAACAAAACCGAAAACAGTACCCTTCCACGAAAGGATATCTTCTTCCCCTGAGGTAATGAATGCATAAATTAAAATGTTAGAATGTACAGTACCTGTCCTAAAATGTGAGACAATCCTGTCCATGGTCACACCAGGAATCCTGTGAGTTGAAACCATTTTACGAAACTGGTCCATACAGAACGGCTGGCCTGTTCTCACAGCCTTGTCAACTGGTATTTGCTCCCTACAATGGGAAAAAATTGAAAAATGATAACTTATTAACACATAAATAGCAATACTAGTACTAGTCTGGTTTGTAATTCAAACAATAAATCACCACATTGTAAATTGAAAAACTGTAACATCTATAACGTTAAATATGCAGACAGACTTTCTTCAACTGTTGGTGCCAAAATTGAGCATTTAATCGAACTCAGAGACCAAATCTGAGAACCAAGACTTTCTATGTTCCTGCCCATATGTACATGTTTTATGTTCAAAATACATTTCTTTATTTACATTAGGTAATCTACTAAAGTTCCCCATTTTCTTTTCTGTATGATATGGTCCCAGTAGTGTGCATAGTCCCGTGGTTTGTGACCCTGCCTCTTGACCAAGAGGTTGGGAGTTTGCATCCCGGCTGTTGTTGCTCACCTGACATGCATGCTACTGGAAAGGGTCGCAATCCCTAGGACAGAACGTGGTCCACTGTTCATTGTACTTGTCGAAAAGAGCTAGAGGAACCTCCCCAATACCTGTAAATCTGTCTTCTCTGTCACGACCAGTGGGAGATTTAGCTTCAGTGAGCTAAACTGGTTCGAGACCAATTAAATTCTTTGTTTCTTCAGTTTTTTTTATTATAGAAGTGAAATATACAAATATGGAAAAGGGCTTGATTTCTTAGCAACAATCTTAAATCTTTTCTTTCATTGTAAAAGTGGCTGCGAGAATATAAGTTGTACCTAACTTGAGTTCGCAGTCACTTAGTCCATGTCTTTTCATTTGTAATTCTCATTGAGTTTCTGAATAAAAAAAAAAAAAATCTTAAATCTTAACCCTTGTCCTGCTGGACTTTTTTTACACAATATTTTCAAGTAATTTGAAGTCGTAATCTGGTCACAGACCCCTGACTTTTTTGCCCCGCGGCAGCATGGTTACTTCCGCATTCGTTGCATTTCGCTGCAGTGTGATGCGTTGCACGAGAAACACACCCAAATCGTACATATACAGGGCACTATATAGAAGGTACTGTATGTGCCACCCATATATATATGGGTCCCGCAGGACAAGGGTTTTAATATTGACATTAAATAACTCTAAGCCTTACTTCCTGAGTAGTTTCCACATCTGTAGTCCGTACCACAGGTGCAGGGGGACCCTGTCCATCAGGGTTCCGTCCTGCGGTGGCCAGATGTGGTCAAACGTGGGGATGGAGCCGGAGATGTTGGAGTTTAACGGTAACGGGAGGCGAGACCGCAGGTACACCACATCCAACCACCAGTCTTCAAGCTGGGGGAGGGGGAACGAGATGCATTTAAAATGCAATTAAAGCACCATCAACTTTTGTGTATATAAGCATTGAAAAAACATTTTTTTTGTAATGCCTGTAGGAAAGGCAGTTAAAATGGGTACATAAGTTTGGTTGGGGAGGTAAAAACCAACTTGAATTAACGACCCTACCCATGTACCCTTTCCTTTTTTAAGAAAAAGGCCCAAAAGTGGACTGCACGCTCTATCTTAAAATTTATTACGAACTTCAGGAAAGCTATCTATCTGTGGCAATCACTCGAGATCTTTACTTGCAATCAGATACAGATTCATGTACAGATAAATTTTCTTGCACAAATACAGATTCATGTACAGATCGATATACAGATACAGATTTTCCGAGTATGATGACCATGTCAGTACTTACATCTGAGTGAACAGAAAAGGAGCTTTTTTCTCCATTCTGATTTTGCGGTTGTAGTACAGTAAGTAATACTGTAAATTCATTTATGCTCATAGGGACTAAAAACAAAGGTATACCTAGGTGGATGAAAAAAATATGCTGGTCCAAGTATGGAATGAAATTCTTATTAAGATAGCCAATAAAGCAATGGCAAGCTCACAATAGACTGGTTACCTCACTTCTGGTCTTACCCAATTTACCCCTACTTACCCAATTCCTGTTGACCTTTGCCCTCTCCAGTAGCTGTTGATGCAGTGATTGGCCGATCCCTACTTCGAACTGCCTCACCACTGCCTCCGTCTCCTTGTATTCCTCCGCCGTAACAAATGGTTTGACTGGGGACAAAAAATGAAATTCAATGATGGAAACATTGTTTTAGGTGCCTGAGTTTATGGGTTTGTCTCTAGGTTTCATATTGGGTGGGAGATGATTTTGACAGTTGATAGGCCTTCAGAAAGTGTTGTATCTGCATCTGTGTTGGTATAGCCGGTATAACTGCCCTTGGGTGTAACACACATATCATACTCTCCACATTTGCTCAAACAATTCCTTTAAATTTACAGTTCTAGAGTTTAAAAAGTTTTCGAGTTCTAGATCTGTGATCTGTCACAAAAACCTTAAGCCTGAAATCTCTGATTTCTTGTTTTGCTGACAGTGGGCTTGAAAATCATTCGAACATGAATATAGGAAAACATTATGTGTACCTGACTCTAAGTACTTCTCCAGCGAGCTTTTGAGAGGAGGTACAGGTAGAGGTGGGAGGGAGTCCTGATACTTCCAGGTTCGCTCCCCGAACACTTGGATGGCTTTCTTCAGTAACCATTCCTGTAGACGTCCTGGTATCCACTTCAGCTACAAACATACCACAGAAACACATCGTTTTAACGTTAAATGTTTTTGAGTAGACCGCATCACATAAGCAATCTGTGGTTTTTGCCTATTATAAATACTCAATGAATATATGTGAATAAAAAAAATTAAAGAAAGGTAACAAATGCATAATTACCTTCGCATATTGTCTGCTCTGTTGGTTAATTCTTACTCAAACACATTCATATGGTCAGACAGGAGTCTAAATCCCTCCTGCTATAAAATTTCCAAATTTCCATGTCAAAATTTTAAAAGTCTAAAAGACTAATGATGACGGGCAAATAAATCTGCAGAGCTAGATTTTAAATAAAAATCTCTCTTCCTAAAATTACACCACGCCCCCTTGCGAAGAAGAGACATGAGGACAAGAAAAAATGGAAGGGGGAGGGACGCCCTACTCGTATCGGCCCCACCCTTGTTAACACTATAGCTACTGTACACAATAATACTAGTATGTGTACTCGCTGTCAGCCGAATCCATAGAGGACCATGGAAGTTCATTCAAACAGCCGCCCTTTTCTGTGCCCCAGTTGAGTACTGACCTGTGCCGATTGTTGCAACTCTTGATCACTCGAGGAAAACAGGCGAGCGAGTTGAAACAGCCTGGCCGCCTCGGTGGCCCCGACGCAAGAGGCCACCGATTCCACCCAAGACCACACACAGTCTTTGATTTCATTGTAAACCTTCGCCAGGGACATAATTTCATCGACTGCCAACAGCTAGCACCGCACCACAGAGGTCACTTCTAGAAATGGGTCCGTGACAGACGAATGAAGTAACATGATCCTAGTTGAGTACACATCACTGATTTTGCGGTAGACCCAAAAGACCGGACCAGTCTATTCTAATCCGAGGGGCCGTGGATTTTGGTACAGCTAATTTGCTAGCTTTTAAAAACCTCCTGGGCATTTTTTTCGAACCTCTTTGGCAAAATTCATATCAAAAAACATACACGTTAACGGTTTACGAAATACCTGTTGACTGTCAAACTAGAATGTAACTGGCGGTTTCATAAAACCTATTCCAGGAGTGGGCACTCCCCAAGGCATTGATAGCTACCAAATCGTCTGATGGTAGACGAAGATAAACTATATAATTCCCAGGTGAAAAAGATTTAACCCTAGCCTTTTAGACAAATAAATTGCTTTAGATCTTTCAAATTGATAACCTTTCAATTATCCCAAGTGTCTATATTAGAAACAATGTAGATTTAGCCTCTACCAGGCTTCAGAGGTGGCTGGAAAGATCGAGCATAAATTGACCAAATAGCTGTAGACGGAAAGCATGCTAGGAGAGTTAGTCTGCTAAAGAAGTACAGTTTGCTTTTTCCAAACTGCTACCCCCTTAGCGAACCAACTCCCCTGGCATGTTATCTGTCCAATTTCTACTCTTTCCAGCCACCTCTGAAGCCTGGTAGAGGCTATTGCAAAATCAGCCTTTTGACCAAAGAGATATTGCATTGACAGGGTCTATTGTCACCTCGCATTTAAAATATAATAGCTTATTCAGAGAGGTGCAGACGTTTCTTTTGAGCAATTTATCGATTTCCACTTGTGTGTGACGTTGACAAGTATCGATCGCTTGTGAGGACCGTGCATGGTCACTTTTTTTGCTTCATTTTAAAAATCAATATAAATCCTTTTCGACCTATATTATTGCAATTTTCCCATGTAAAAATACGTATATTACCTATACATACAAACATACCGGTAGCATGGCGTTGCCAGTAATGATGAAAACTCTAGCGAACCAAGAACTGTAAAATTAAAATTATGTTCTAGAGGTCGCTTTGGGGCTGGGAAAGGGATTCGCACTAAGGCGGTTTGCTATACTGACAATATATGTATCTGTTGTGTCGACCAGAATATGATGCAAATATACAGCAAAATATGAATTTAGGCCAATGCTCTACCCTTATCGAGTAGAAATTAGTATTAGGTCACCCAATGAAAGTTAAAGGATAGGTAAAGGTAGACCCATAGCCTTTTTGAGGCCGTACTTCCAGTTTTACACCTGAGTGGAATGAGGCCAAAGTGTTCGGTAAAGTACCTTTCCCAATGACACAACGTCTAGCCAGGAATGGAGCCCTGGCCCCATGCATGACTTCTCGATCTAGGCACTCCGCTTGCCTAGGCAACCGGCCATTCAATAACTCAATAATATAAAACCGGTATAAAACCCGAAACCGCATATTCACCTGTAGTCTGTCTATCTCCTTCCTGTCTGTGGCGAATAGCAGACCGTACTGCATCTGTCGTACGGCCCCGGTCAGCCCGAGCCAAGACCCCGCACAGAAGAGCACGGCTTTCGCCCACTGTAGTATAGCGTAGGCTACCGACCACACGGCCATTGTTGTCAGCCTGTACTAAATATGGAAAACGTCTACTGAGGACGACAATAGTGTTTGAATTTATCCGAGGACCGGCTGGGGTTTGCCATGCAGTGCATAATGAGCCGCATCAGACACGAGGATCTGTATGGGGGGATCTGGCAAGGCTTGACGGTAAATTTAGGAGAGTCATCAACGCTTTTAATTCAAGAACGTGTAGCGATATATGTCCTTGGAAATACTGTCGGAAAGTCGGTCGAATATTTAAGCAGAATTGCACATTACCTGAAAATACTATTTAAGAGCGGTGTTTTGAAAAACCCCTCAGGTGGCCTCAGAAACCGCGACATCCTGGTACTGAATACAAAGTAGATATGATGCTTAATTCTTAATCATTAATATTTCATGGCGGTGGGAACGATCGAATAATGGTTAGTGTGAGCTCCATCTGGCGACAATAAGACGAATCGCAACATAATTGGGCTTAGCAACTCGCAGTACTTAGAAGAACGACACGTGTCCGTAGATAGACTAGACACACTGGAGTTTTATGTGTGCAGTATGCGTGGCTACAGTAGGCACATGTGCCTTCACTTTTGGAAACAAGAGGACAGATAAGGAAAACCAGATAAACCTTCATTGGGCATGAGTATTCTCCTAAATTGTTTTTAAAGGAGGCACCATGCAGGAAGTTGAAATCGGAGACCGGTCTTTTTGGTGTACCCGTTTTTCTCTGAGCAACGAGGTTCAATACTTGGTCTGAGGATTGAGTGAGGTTGCGTTTTTTTGGCGTAACGTTTGTTTCTTTTTTTTTGACTATCAAAAAATTTGTCTTCACTTATTTGCATAGTCCTGCTTTTCTGACAACTCTTCAGTGTTACTGACGAAAGGTACTGGATGCTACTTGAAACGTCTGGCCGTTTCCAAAATCATATCCGGTGTTTTGGCCTATCTCTTCAAGGTCTCTCACATACACAACTCTCCTCCCCTTGTCATTTGTTGCCCTCCCCTCCAAAGATAACACAGGAGACGAAATCTGACAACAGTGTTTTAACTTCGAAGTTAAACATGTTACTGAGTGTCAGAACTCAGAAGTATGAGGATCTATCTGACACCTTACACATTGACCTGGTAAAACACAAAACAGCACGTCCTGAGGCGAAAGTTGGCAACACTTCACGTATCTGTGTGCAGTTAGGACGAAGGCCACGATAAAGTTCCATCCGGTTCAATGAACTTTTAGAAACATTTAGCAAAACATTCATATTTTGCGAACGATTCTGTTCACGAATACCTCCAGTTTAATTCCGGACTTCCGGTTTAATTCCCAACTATTAAATTACATACATGTATCTCAGCAACCTTACATCTAGATGGGCTAATATTGTAAACTATAAGTAAAAATAATGTAAGAAATATGTATATGTAGCGGCCATGGAGGATCCCTTGGGGGTTAACCAAATTCTGTAGAATTCTACACAGGCTCCAGTTCCCAGAATTCTGGCTGCAGTCCGAGAATTCTGGAGAATTCTGCAGAATTGGGTTAACCCCCAAGGGGTCCTCGGTGGCTGATACGTATTTCTTACATCATTTTTACCTGTAGTTAACGACATTAGCCCATCTAGATGTAAGGGTGCTAGAATATGGGAATTAGTCCGGAATTAAAGTGGAGGCTGTTGTTTGAAAGGCACTCACATCAGAAAGATTGGGATGTATATGAATTCTCTGGTACTTTGTGATGACGGTTAGACATCTAGGTAAACGATACTCCTAGTCCTAGACAATTCAAACTCCACTACATACACTGGATATAGAATAAGAAAAGACTTTCCCGACGTTTCGAGTAACACCCATTACTTTTCTTCCATGTAGCTAGAGGGAACTGACAGGACTAGTCAACACTTATGATTGAGGAAGGAGCTAGAAAAAAAACGGTTGAACACTGACCAATCACTGACTCCCAAGTGTCACTGATAGTTTCTATAGTTACCATAAGACAACGCCATTGGTTGGCAGGGCGGGGTCCCATGTATACATGTACCGAAGAGTTCAAGGAGGAGTATTTTTAACCTAATTTACATATCAGTAACAACAACGGGTCAGTGACTTAACCGGTTTTGTCCAGTTCCCAATACGTACTAAAATTCATATGATGTGTTGACAATTTCCTGGTAATTTCTTTCGATCCACGGGAAGTTGAATGAACCTTGTAGCTGAAGATGCTAGGATGGCAAGCAGTGAAAGACAGGATCCTTCAGAAAGGACTGAGGACTTTCAGTAGAATAATGAATGAAAGACAATCTGTTTCCCTGTATAAGAACATCACATTACAGTCACATGGGTACAATATTATACCAGAACATCGGGCTTACGGACTGTCCGCCTTCCTAAACCCAGAACGAATTCGAATGCCCAGAAAAAGAGATTTCTGTACAGTCAAAGTCAAGCATTGTATTAGCCCTGGTAGGTGCCACCGTTTTTGTAACGGGGCTCTTTGCACTGGCTACCCCCCCACCCC